AAAAAAATGTAGGAAGAGATGGCGAGGAGGCCTAAAAGAAACTATAGAGCTTATGTTAATTAGGCCTCCTCAATTACAATTTTTCGAAGATAGTATAAAAATTACGGCGACGGATACAACATAATATGAGGTGAAAAATTAAACTAATCAATATTACGGAAGTTTACAAATGTTGAATATTAAAAGGCTTTTTCCCAAAATTTTTGTTGGAGTATACTAATAATTATTACAAATAAATGCCTTAAGTGCTCTTTTAAAGGAGAAAGGTGAGGAAGCGTTGATGATGTTGGTGTTTAAGGTGTTGTAAAATTTAGGTCCTTGATAAAAAACGGAAAATTGTTTGGTTCGAGTACGACAGAAAGGCAGAAGAAATTTACACGAGTTTCTTGTATTATACGAATGAATTTGACTTTGTAAGGTAAATTTACAATGAAATTTTAAAGGTAGAGTATGGTTTTGATAGGAGTACATGAATAAGCCTAGTTGTAGTAAGTATATATCATGAAATTTTAAGATACCAAGATTCTGAAAGAGTGGATCAGTATGTGCCTCGAAAGTGGTTTTAGCTATAGTTCTGATCACTCGTTTCTGTAAAATCTCAAGAAGAATAAGGTTAGTTCTGTAAGTAGAGGCCCAAACTAAGTTGCAGTAGAAAAGGTATGGATAGACTAGAGAAAAATATAGTGTTCGTTTTTCATCAGGTGTATTGGAAATTCTAGAAAGCGATCTGTTTCAGGATAATTTTGCGATGGCACTTTATTTCTTTGGAGGGGTAAATGACCAGTGCGGTGCCAGGTCACGTCATCGCCTTGTCCAGTGTCGCGGGAATTTTTTTTGTTTTTCGTCTGGCCCCAGTTGTTCAAACGTTAAATAGCGCTATCCACCGGATAGGTATGAACTAATTGCATTATCCACTGGATAGAGATTTATCTTGGTTGGTAGGAATGTAAAAAAATAAAAACTTTTTTTCAACGTTTTTATTTTTTTGAATTCCTACCAACCAAGAGAGGGCTCAGCCCACTCATATGCTACAACAGTGTCTAAAGTACTGTCCACTGAGCACAACAAATCGGCAGTTTTTCATCAGAGTCATCTACACTTCAACTTATCAGTGGTTAAAATATTTTTAAGTTTTTTAAGGAATTTTAGAAAGTTTTAGGAGATAACACTAAATTATTTATGTATATTTTGTCATTAGTTTTTTAATTGAATAATTAACATTACTTTATATACTTTTAAATTAAATAATTAAGCAATTTTTTCTACAAAAATACACGAATGTCATTCCCATTCAAGTACAAAACGTGTGTTCATAGCCCATGCATTATTCCAAGCAAATCCAATAATATCAACTAATTCGGTCGATTTTGCGACGACGTCTTACTGACATTTTCTCGCTGAAAATGTCAATTTCATCGAAAAGCTTAGATGCAACATATTTTTTTATATGGGCAAATAATGGAAACCGGTAAATTGTGCATTGCGTGATAAGCATGTGCACATGACAAGCTGAATGTAAACAAGCAGCTCGAGCTTGTTGTTGTTGTTGTTTTTTTTAAGAGATTGCTGCGATAAATTTGTTGAGTGTTTAGTGCTCTTCTTAAGGACCCAGGAAATTAACATGGGAATCAACGAACCATAAACAAACAATTTGAGAGGACAAAAACGTAAATTATATATCGTCGTCTCTCTGATCTTCAATCAGAAAAGTAATTTAAGCATGAAAAAAAACTACAAACCTATTTACAGTGAGAGAAACAATAAGAATATATACACTTCCACCATAAAAATCTAAAATATCGATATGTAACAAATTTTAAATTAATTATTAATTATTAATTATTAATTATTAAAATTTATTCAACCATAAGTAAATGTTTTGATTGGTCAATGGGTTGTGTGCCAATAATCAACACATATAGTGATCCACGTATACTCTGCATTGTTGCCCTGTGGACTGTGCTTCTCCTGCTACTTGCGTACTGTTTATGTGGGAGGAATTTGCAAATACAACGGTAAGGATCTTTTAGGGGCTATTCACAGAATACTTTAATTTTGAAATGAGTCCGTCCCATCTCCATAACTTTATTACTCTGTATATGTTTACTTAGTAATTTAAAGACAAAGTTTCATTCCTACACAAGTCATTCTGGAATGAGTTCATTCCAGTTTTGAATACAAATTTAATTCATGTGGTGTGATATTCCATTCTGGTATTGTGTAACCTGAATACAAAGTTAACTTTGTTCTGATTAGAAATGTAATAGCAGACCATGTAGTTGTAGGCCACCAGTACATTTGTATCACTTTCAAGTTTATCTGGCACAAACACCAAGGGAGGGAGAATGCCTTAATTAAGCTGAGCCAGTCAATTTTCTGATGTGAATGCAAAGTGAATTAATTCTTGGACCAACATATATCAACATCTTGTTTTTTACTTAACTGTTCAACTTGTAGGTTGTTAAGATTCACATGCATTTACTTAACAGTACTTTGGTCCTGTGGCTCTTCCTTTTTTTCCAGTAATAATTGTCTATGTGTTGGAATAATTATTAATAGGCCTCCCAAGCAGATATTCTTTTGGCTCGTAATGCAGTCCTCCCCAACAGTCATGGGGCAAAACTGTCAATGTGTGATGCAGTCCTAAGAATGTCTGTGTGGGAGAAATGGAAAAATAAATTGGTCTAAATTCTACAAACATGATCATACCAACTTTAAATAATACAATCATGCAAGCATCAATTTTCTGTGCTTGATAACACATGTGCATCTGCTACATTGCATTTGCAGTTCATTGAATGTTGTGTTTGACAAGAGAGATAATCTTCTTTTTTCAGGATTCTAACCATGGGACTTGCTATCCTTGCTGTCCCATTCCTTCCAGCATCAAATATCTTCTTCACAGTTGGTTTTGTTGTAGCTGAAAGGGTGCTGTATCTCTCCAGTATTGGCTCTTGTCTGATCACTGTTCTTGGATTTGCCGCACTAAGCAAGAAATACTTTGGAAAAAAGCTGGTGAGCAAGAATGATGTATACCAGTATATATTCACTTGTCACTCTTCAAAGACGTGCAACATGCTGGTTTGAAATTAAGACTGCTTACATGTACATGTATGTTATTTAGGTGTCATGCTCTTTTTAGCAATGTAGCTTGACCTTGTTGGAGGAAGCAATTGTTTTTCTACAGGGGAAACACTCCATTACGCAGATTATGGGTAGTATTTTTCCTTTGAATTTAACTGACCAAACGAGGAGCACAAGGAGGGGAAGTACCTAACAGGCTGGTGGAGCCAAGAACTGCAGCTGAGTGTACCTTGTAACCATGACAACCCTGTCATGGTGTGCAGGGTCCAGGCACCATCACACTGCGTACAAGTACATGGATTAACCCTTTAAGTCCAGATGGTGACCAACATCAATAATTTTCCCCAAACGATATCCATACATAATTTGTCAGGAGAAATGGTTATGAGAATTAATTAAATGATCACCAAAGAGAAAATGCTTTGATCTTTTATTTAACTCTCTCAACGTATCTCTAAGTAAATGTATGAATATCAGTGTGGAGAATTTGTATGTGGATATTGGGGCTTAAAGGGTTGAAGGGTACGCTGGGTACAGAGTAGGGAGCCGAAAACTTCACCAGCATAAGCAGTGTATAGCAATATACATGTGTAACACGCACAGGGTACAGAGGAGTTATTTGGGCATGACCTTGGTTGTTGATTGTAGTTAAATTTTACAGTTGATACCGCACATTCCCTTTGACTTTATACTGTGGAATCAAGCAAACCGTCATGCGATCATCTTACAAACCTGGTTAAATATTATCCAATGCTCCGGAAAACCACTGAAGGTAATGACTGTGGACGAATAACAGCAGCTACACTGTAGGATATAATAAAGAGACAAATAACACATCTGCGTCCTGTGTAACACCCTGACAAGAATTAATTATTTGATATTTTCTGCTGCCCTGCACCTATAGGTTTTAGGATTAACTGTTGGTGCACTGATAGCTTGGTACATGGCTCGAACAGTACAGGTAAGAAAAATGACCCTTCTGCTCGTAGAGCCTCAGATAATCATATCAAAGGGGTGCCTGGAATTAAGCCTGATGTTAGACAATCAAAGAGTGAGGGTGTAATTGCATTGCAGTATCCCTTTCATCCATGTTTTTACCATCTATATCACCATGTTATATTCTGTACCAAAAGTTATTACGTAATTTGCTTTGACTTGCTTCCTATGCAGACATTTCCAGGTTAGGCAAGGGACTTGTGGCAAATTCCTAAGAAATCTTTGTGGGGGCCAGTTCTTGCCTCAGATTTCATGGACTAAAAGTCTTGGTCATACGCTTTCCCCCACTGATACTACTATGGTACAGGCACCCCCTGTCAAAAGATACTGAGCTCAGGGTTCTCACTAAGTTTTAAAGTATACAGCTAGGATGTAAATGTAGGTGGCTTAGCAATCAAGTTCTGTAATTAATTTCAGGCTTGCATTCGGCCTTGCTTTACCATTTTTCCTAAAGAGTACATGGCTCAAACCTAGTCGTTTTTTTAGCCAGTTGCCAGCACTTAAAGAGAACCCTGTAGAAAGCTTAAAAAATATGAGCTTCTCCATAATACAGACACCTTGATTTGTTCCTCTGGTGTTCGCCTGAAAGCGTTCTTGGAGTTGTGGCTGTTTTTATATTGCCTTCTTCCTTTTTTCAGAGATCCACAGAATGGGTTGATGAAGACACTTTATTCACTTCTGGACTCACTGTTTGTCCACTCAATGCCAAGGTAAATGAAATAGCTGAAGGGATGTTCTCACAGTCATGATTGCAGCTAGCAAGACCTCCCATAAGGGACCATTTATGCAAAATACTGTTAGTAATCAGTCTTGCCAGTCAAGATGGAAAACTCTAGGAAGTGACCTCCTCTAGAAAAAGGGGCTATGTCAGGTGGATACTGTTGGACCCTGTTGTGTCAGGACAGAAGGACAATTCTGTGCTTAAGTCACAGGTCGAAGTGACTGTGCCTACCACATCCACTTTCTTGTATTTTTTTATTCACTTTTTTTGTTAACATACATCTAGGCTTTGAATTAATTTTTTTTCAAGGGTTAACTTAAATAAGCTATTCATCAGCATTGTAATTGAAATTGTAATCGTAAGTAACACCAGGGCGGTGCCTTGCATGGGTCTAGGGTCCCGTTTGCACTTGCCCTTTTGGGGATCAGCAATTGTTTTATAATTATTCTTGTGATTAAAATTAATTATTTTTATTTTATTTCTTTAATCATATATCTTCTTGTCAATCCTTTCATGATTGCAGTTTTGCCCCAATAAAGTGCCCCCCCCCCCTCCCCCTAGTTACCTAGTTCCCTTCCCCATACACAAAATGCTTCTTTAAAATTATGACGAGGCACAAACCGTAGTAATTTCTTTTGGTGATTCTCGCGGGCATGTCATTAGAACTTGAAAACAGACGACAGGAAACAGCTCTGATGCCTTAATATAGTCTTAAACAACAAAACGGGACCTCGTTAATTTTGGAATTCAATTGATGCGAAAAACGTTTATTAGCTTTTTTTTTTTTTAAAAGAATAGCAAATAGCGTAAACTATCCCCTGTTCCCTGTAACCACCTATTCCTGGCATTTTGACTTGGTTGCGTATGAGAGAATTTCGCTGTAGCTCTTGTGGACCTTAGTATACTTATGATCAATTTTGTCCCTTCAACAGGTTCATTACAACATTGGCAAGCTGAGAGCTGAAAAAGGACAGGCAGGGATTGCTGAGAAGTTTTACAGAGAAGCAATCAGGTACCGCGTGGAACTGATAAACACTCATTGTACTGGTTTATTTAGGCAATAGACCACACTTTCTATGGGTTTACCGGCGTGATAACTCACGCGGCATGTTTGAAGAACACGAGAAAAGGTTGTAAATCACGAGCCGAACGCCAGTGATTTACAAGCTTTTCGAGTGTTCTCCCAACATCCCAAGTGGGTTATCACGCCGGTAAACGCATAGAAAGTTTGATCTATTGCTTTTATAAAATAACTAACCAGAACTATGAGTTTTACCGGCATAGCTTTTTAACCAATCAGAACGCCCGTACTATCTTGGTTATTTTATAATTCTTGATAATTGACGTCGAGTCAAATGATAGTTCTTGCCTGTACTTAAATGAAGTTTCCTTTGAGCGTTTTTAACAATAAAAAAATAGCCTGCAGTTTAATCCAAGCATGAAAAGGTTTGGGGAACGGCCCTTGCCTGCGGAAGTTCCACGGGTTATGTTTTAAAGAAATATTTACTTCAGATTGGACATATCATCACGTACCGTATAGAATTGTCCCAATACACAGGATTTACTGAGGGTGCGTTCGATTGGGAAATCCGGATTTAGATTTTCAAAATCTAAATCCGGATTTCCCAATCGAACGCGAAGTCCGAAAACGGATTTCACCTCCGAGAAATCCGTCCTCAGGGTGGATTTCAATTATGAAATCCAAATCCGGATTTCATGGATTTTCTTTTTTTTTTTCTTCGATTGGGAAATCCGAAAAAGGATTTGCGAAACTATTCTCGTGAACAGTGGTCTTCTTTTTGCTAAGTATGCGTGCGCGTGCAAGACCGCTGTTCTTAAGGACAGTTCTTCAAATCCTTTTTCGGATTTCCCAATCGAACGGTTAAAATGAAAATCCAAAAACAGATATCTCAGCGTTGAAATCCGTTTTCGGATTTCGCGTTCGATTGCAAATCCGAAATCCGGATTTTGAAATCTAAATCCAGATTTCCCAATCGAACGCACCCTCAGTTTCATTCTTGGAAGAGCTCGTTTTTTTTTCCTTTCTGTTTGTTTTGTTTTGTTTGCATATTTTTCTTATATTTTCTCTACCCTAATGGCTTTTTTCCCTTAATTTTTCCCCTTGCTGCGCGAGGTTATGCTATTCGCGTATTTCTAGTAAATTTTTGTCGTTCTAAAGTATGCAGGTTCTAGGACAATTAATCACTACCTTCAACAGTGCATGTCTTAAAAGAAAAGACTAAAATGATATCAACTAATTTTAATTCCCTTAAATGGTAGGTTAAACCCAGCATACGATCAAGCTTTAAACAATTTGGGAAACCTTATCAAGGTATGACGTCCTTGTACAACATGTTACATATATTTTATTTTTGACGCACATGAGACGTTCAATAACGGAGAGGCAGTAAACATGTGAATACTCCAAAATATGCGTACTTAGTTTTTGTGGCAGGAAAGAGTGGGAAGTGTGAGTTCTAGAGGGCGGGAAGGGGAAAATATGGGGAAATTATGCAGCAATACTCAATATTTCGTAATCGAAAAAAGAGCTGGTGGGAGAAAGCCAAGAAAAAAAGTGGTGTGTGAGATAACTTATTAACGAAGCCATTCTTGTGTATAGGAATAACTTTGCGGCGGGCTGGATGAACTTAGGCACCGTAAAGGCAGCATTGCATAAAGAAGATGTGAGTTTGATAGCTTTATTCATGTTTTCACAAATCATTGATTACGATCTGACCTTCCAGCGAGCTTTGTTTTTCTGTGTAACAACCGGAGAGCGGCCAGGCGCGCAGGTGGTGGTGAGCCAAGCTAGCAGAGAGAGAATTAAGGGTATACTTAAATCTCAAATCAAACTTGTGCCTCGTCTTGTGCCAGTTTTTCCTATTTCTTTCCCTTGATTCTCTCTGCACGATTATTTCTTCCGCACAACTTCGAACTCTCTGATCCTACAAAATTTGTTTCTTAGGAAGCCGAAAAATGCTACAGCAACGCTATAAAATACAGACCAAGATATCCAGACGCTTTTTTCAACCTTGGAAATCTGGTAAGAAAAAAAGGTCAATAGTTTTTAAACGTTCAAAATGCATAGTGCAAGCAGTGCAGATACAATGATATAATCCTTTTACGTAAACCCTGGATAGTTTCCCATTGATTGCTTTTTCATGCGTATTTATACTGACCTTAAAATCTTCTCCTCCAGTACATCGATCAAGACAAAACTGTAAAAGCCATTGCCGCATTTAAAACAGCCATCAATTTAAAAAACGATTATGTGGGTGCTTGGCTGAATCATGCTCTGCTTTTAGAAAAGTCAGGTCAATGTCTGCAAGGGGCCTTTAAACGGGTGGGGAGGAAGGATTTTACGGTAACTGAGCGATTTTTGTGCTGATTGGTCGAGAGCTATGGTCGATAACCGTCGATAACGGACGGACCATTAGAATAATTATGGGGTTGGGGAGAGTGGATGGGGAATTTTCGAGCCACATCAATTTTTTCTCTTGAACATTTCCCTTTGCTTGAATTTTTTTAGGCCAGTGCGGGAATATTTTTTTGGGCGTACTCGGCCTGCCTGAATTTTTTTCATAAGATTTTCCCTTGCACAAATATATTTTTTATGATGCTTCATCCCGCCCCCCCCCCCCCCCCCCCCCCCCCCC